TGTGTCTCTCCCTCTCTGTCACACTCCATCACATTCTGTCTCTCTCCTTCTCTGTCACACTCCATCACACTCTGTCTCTCTCTCTGTCACACTCCATCAAATTCTGTCCCCCTCTCTCTCTCTGTCACAGTCCATCACATTCTGGCTCTCTCGCTCTCTCTCTGTCTGTGTCACAGTCCATCACACTCTGTCTCTGTCACCGTTTCTCTCACTGTCACTGTCTCTCCCTCTCTGTCACACTCCCTCATATTCTGTCTCTCTCACTGTGTCTCTATCTTTCTGTCTCTCTATCATTAACCTGTCTCCCTACCTTTTCACCTGTCTCGCTGCCTCTGTTTCTGTGTAAGTATTTCATACTCTTTGCTCTCTCTGTTGCCAATTCCCTCTGTCTCCACATCTTCCTGTCTCACTGTCTTTGTTCCATTTCTGTACTGCTCCCTCACTCTCATTTTCCGTCTTTCATCCTCACTCTCTCTGTCTGCCGCTCTACTCCCTGTCCACTTTCTCCCTGTTCCTTTCTCACTTTCTTTGTTCTTCTTTCCCTTTCTACATCGTACATCTTCTTCACCATCTCTTATACAATCTCACCGCCCCTGCTGTCTCTCTCTGTCTGCAGAATCTCACTCTCTGTCGCTCCCTGTCTCTCTACATGTGTCCTTTACAATCCCCTCTCTTTCACTCTCTCTCTCTTCCTCTCTCTGACTCCACCTCTGTGTCTGTCTATCTCAATGTCTCTCCCTTAGTCTGTTTAACCACCTCTCCCCAGGTTTCCAGTCTCTCTATCTCCCTGTCTCTTTCACCGCATCTGTCTTCAGTCTCTCTGTCTCTCTCTGTGTCTGGTTCATTGTGACAACTCTTGTAATTATCTCTTCTAATCCTCTCTCTACCTCTCTCTGACTTTTTGCCTTCCATCTCTTTCATTTTTTTTGTCACTGTCCATATTATGCTCCTTCTCCACATTTGTCTTCCAGTGCATCTCCCTGTCTTCCTCTCTCTCCATGTGACTCTCTGAATATCTCTATCTCTTTCTCTGCCTTGTTCTCACTGTGTCTGTCATTCTTCCTCTGTTTCTCAGCTTCCACTAACCTCTCTGTCTCTCTCTCTGCATTTGGTCCTGGCTATTGTGTCACGCTGTCTCTTCCCCGTGTTCTGCTCTTCCCAGTCCTGTAGTCGCTGATGTTGTCTCCCTCTCCTTACCTACAGGGATCTGGGAACTGCGATGCAGTGTGACTGTGGGACTGAATACTGGTCTCCGATTCCCAGACTTTACTGGCTGCCAGGTATGTAAAGAGAGCTACTTTTCACAACCTTGTGATCAATCATTGTGCTTCAGGGCTGTCTGTAAGGACCAGCCGGAGGGCACAGCAGTAGGAGGAGGCCATTCAGTCCATCTAAACCATTCTAGCATTCATCGAGCTTGTAGCTATCCATCCCCACATTCAGCTGCTTCATCAATGCCCTTCCCTCCATCATAAGGTCAGAAGTGGGGATGTTCGCCGATGATTGCACAATGTTCAGCACCATTCGTGACTCCTCAGATACTGAAGCAATCCATGTTCACATGCAACAAGATCTGGACAATGTCCAGGCTTGGGCTGACACATGGCAAGTAACATTTATGCCGCACAAATGTCAGGCTATGACCATCACCAATAAGAGACAATCTAACCACCACCCCTTGGCATTCGATGGTGTTACCATCACTGAATCCCCCCACTATCAACATCCTGGGGGTTACCATTGACCAGAAACTCAACTGGACTCACCACATAAACACAGCAGCTACAAAAACAGGCCAGAAGCTGGGAATCCTGCAGCGAGTAACTCCCGTCCTGACTCCCCCAAAACCTGTCCCACCATCTACAAGGCACAAGTCAGGAGTGGGATGGAATACTCCCCACTTGTCCTGGATGGGGGCAGCTCCAACGACACACAAGAAGCTCAACACCATCCAGGACAAAGCAGCCCCCCGCTTGATTGGCACCACATCCACAAACATCCCACTCCCTCCCCCACTGACACTCAGTAGCAGCAGTGTGTACCATCTACAAGATGCTCTGCAGAAATTCACCAAAGATCCTCAGACAGCACCTTCCAAACCCACAACCACTTCCATCCAGAAGGACAAGGGCAGCAGATACATAGGAACATCACCCCCTGCAAGTCCCTCTCCGATCCACTCACCTGACTTGGAAATTTGTGCCATTCCTTCACTGCCTCTGGGACAAAATTCTGGAATTCCCTCCCTAAGGGCATTGTGGGTCAACCTATAGCACATGGGCTGCAGCGGTTCAAGAAGGTAGCTCACCCCCACCTTCTCAAGGGGGCAACTAGGGACTGGCAAGAAATACTGGGCCCAGCCAGCAATGCCCACATCCCACAAGTCATTTAAAAAAAACTGTTTGAGATCATAGCTGATCTATGACTGATCACCTTTTGCCCTGAAACCTTCAGATCCAGTCCCAATAGTGTCCCAGACCCTAACTCTGTGTCATTGTCTGTTTTCGGGCCTACATTTCCAGGCTTGGCTTACCCGGACTGGGCCTACAAGCCTGACTCCAGCCCCGGGAGTCGCCAAGTCCAGCTCTGGCACTTCATCCTGGACCTGCTGAGGAAAGAGGAATATCGAGAAGTCATTGCCTGGCAAGGAGATTACGGAGAGTTTGTCATCAAGGACCCAGATGAGGTCGCTCGGCTCTGGGGAAGGAGGAAATGTAAACCTCAGATGAACTATGAAAAGCTCAGTCGGGCCCTCAGGTAAGGAGCTGACTCTGTTCGATGCCTCAGCATGCGGGCCCTGTTTACTTTTCTGTTCACATCCTGTTTTGCTCCACTTCTTTCTCCTCCTGCTCTCTATCACTCTGTCTGTCTGTGTGTTAGTCCTTTCACCTTGTTCTCCACCTCTACTTGTTACTCTCTCTCTCCCTGTCATTCTCTCACCTTCCACATTTCTCTATCTCCGAAACTTCCTTCTCCCCCAACTATCTCTTTCTCACTCTCTGTATCTTTCCCTTAATTTCACTCCCCTTATACTTTGTGTGCATGTGTGTGTCTGTATATCTCTGTCTCTCTGTATCTGTGAGTCTTTCTCTCTTCTCTCTTTCTCTATCTCTTCCCCACCACCGTATCTCCATCCTCCTGCCTCTTTTAGTTCTCTCTCTGTCGATTTCTGCCTTGCTGTTTATCCTTCTGTATCTCTTTCTCTCTCTCAGTGTGTTTCTCCATCTCTCTCTCTCTCTCACTCTCTCCCAGTGACTCCTCTTTCCCCTCATCCTCAGGTATTACTACAGCAAACAGATCCTCCAAAAAACCAAAGGGCAGCGATTCACGTACAAGTTTAACTTCCGGAAGGTTCTGATGGCCAGCTGCCCACTCTGGGATCTGCCCCTGAGTCCGTGTGCCCCAGGTATCAGCCCCTGCTGTCCCATCCTTGAACAGGGCAATAACCTGTCACAGGTAGGTGGGCATAGCTGTTTGATCGTGGGGCAGAGGGGGTGAGGGAGGGGGAGGAAAGGGGACGAAAGGGGAGGGGAGGAGAGAAGAAGGGAGGGAGGGACAGGGGAAGGGAGGAGAGGGTAGGGGAGGAGTGGGGAGGGAGGAGAGAGGAGGGGAGTGGTGACTGGAGGGGAATGAAAGAGAGGAGAGGAGAGGGGAGGGGAGGAGAGAAGAAGGGAGGGTAGGGGAGGAGAGGATAGGGGAGGAGAGCGGAGGGGAGAAGATAGGAGGGGAGTGGAGTGGAGGCAAGGAGAGATGTGTACAAGGAAGGAGAGAGGTGTGGAGGGGAGGAGAGAAGAGGGGAGGAGATGAAAGGGGAAGAGAGGGGAGGGAGAAGAGGGAAGGGGGCGAAGGGCAGGGGTGGGGTGATAGGAGAGGGAAGGAAGTAGAGTGGAGGGTGGAAGGGGAGCGGAGGGGGGGGAGAGGGGAGGGGAGGAGAGGAGCGGTGAGGGAGCAGAGGTAAAAGGAGGGGAGTGGAGGAGAGAGGGTTGGAGAGGGGAGGGGAGGAGAGAAGAAGGGGAGGTGAGGGAGTGGGAGGGGAGAGAAGGGGAACGGAGGGGAAGGGAAGG